GTGGGCCCCCCCTGCCGCTTCTCTGGTGCCGTCGCTGGAGACTGCGGGGATCCGGGAGCACGTGACCCCCTCGCTCTGCGCAGGTCCCAGTGTGGGAGCTGTGGCAAGGGCAGCCAGCAGCCTGTGTGGGCCCCTGGTGAGGGGGGGAAGGGGGCAGCTCTGTGCTCCCAGAAAGGGTGGGGTTGGAGACAGCCAGCCCTCGGTGCTGCACAGACTGCACCCCCCTGCTCCCAGAGTCTCACGCCGCACAGTGCTCCAGCGGCAGCTGAAAGGGCCGGGGCCTCTTGCCACGGCAGCAGTGGCCTCAGGCCCTTTACGTTGCCAGGTTCTGGGGCAATTGCCCCCTCCCTCTCCCCCAGCGGGCCTGGCCATAACTGTCCAGCAAGCAGCCCCCTTTCCGGTGCAGCCAGCGGAAGGTAAATCTCTCGGCCGAGCGCACGTAGGCTGGCGAGCGGGGGCGGGGAATGTAAACAAAGGGCAGTTAACTTTGGTCTCCTCTCCTCCCCCCGGCGCTCAGTGTCACCGCTGGAGTCGCCGGATCCCGTCCTGCCACTTGGCGTCCTCCAGACCCCTCAGCCACAGCGGGACCGGGCCTGCTGGGGAGCACCTCTCCCTCGGGGCGAGATCCATGTTGCCCTGGCCGCATAACTGAATGGCCAGCCCCTCCGCTCAGTGCGCTCGCTGGGGCGCTCCCAAGGGGCTCTGCCACATCACCATGGAGCAGTACTTCATGCGGGAGACCGTCAACAAGGTGGGGCCTGTGCCCGGCCTGGCCCGGGGACCCGCCTGGAAACCCGCCGCTGCCCCATGCTGTGTGGGGAGACTCCCTCGTCCCTCTCCCCCACAGGAAACCATCTCGGGGCCCCTGGGAACCATTTCGCACCAGCCATGTGCTCCTTCGCGAGCTCCCCAGCCCAGCGCCCCCCGGCGCCAGGGCACTCTGCCCAGCTAAGGCTTGCAGCCGGACGGGCGCAGGGCTGCACCTGGCCGGGCTGTGGAAGGCAAACTCGAGTGCTGCTGGCGGTGCTCTTGGGGCCAGGAGCCCCCGGGGGGCCAGGAGCCCCCGGGGGCATGAGGAAGGGGGGAACCGGGGTCCTGGCTGGCTGGGGCTGGTAGCAGCCACCTGGCACATCTCACTAAAGCAGGAGCATCAGCCTTGTTGGCCTGGCCAAGTTCACATGGGCCAGGATGGGGCAGGGGGCCTGCAGGAAGGGGGCGGGATGTTTCCGGGGGTCCCTCGCCCACTGGGAGTTGGCTTTCCCTCCAGGCCGTTGCTATGGACACGTGTGAGAAGGGCCAGCTGACCTCCAGCATGGTGGACGACGTCTTCTACATCGTGAAGAAGTGCATTGGGCGCGCCCTGTCCAGCTCCAGCATCGACTGTCTCTGCGCCATGATCAACCACTCCACCGCCGAGCTGGAGTCCGACTTCAGGCAGGGGCAGGCTGTAGGGGCAGGCTGCCTGCCGGCCTCTCGGGGGCGGGGGCTGCCCACAGGACGGAAGGGGCTGGGAGAACATAGACAAGGCAACCGGAAATGCCCGTAACTGACTCCCCCGGCTGGGAGCTGGTTTTGTTGCATCTCTTGGTTTCTGCGTGTAGGGCTTTCGGCTTTCTGTGCTGCTCCCC